GCCCCCAATCACCCGCATGTTTCAAGTCCCCCCCCCCCCCCTCTCCACCCCGGAGAAAAAAAAATGAAAATAAACATTTCCGCTTAGATATCTCTGGGTATACCGTGTTTGAAAACCTTCAGTGGACATTGATCACCCCCCCTCCCCCTCTCCCCCACCATAGTAATGTTAAGGTAGACTACCCACCACCCCCCATCCCTCTTCCCCACAATAGTAATGGTAAGGTAGACTACCCCTCGGCCACAGCCCGGGTCAGAAACTAACCCAGGTGTTTGATACGACCCAAACTCTAATCTCAAATAAAAAAAAAATCTATTTGCCAGATACTAGTACGATAATTCACACGCAAAGTCTTGTTTAATCCGATCCTAACATATTTGGTTGGAATTGAACACTATTACTCCCCCCTCCCCCACTTCACCTTTCTTACAAGATGGATACAGTCTTATTTTATATCCCCCCCCGGCTTCCCCTGTGTCATTTTTTTCTGATGTGAGTTGAGTTCAGCGAAGTCGATCAACTTTTTTTGAACAGTGAATCCAAACTCTATCTAGAATAGATCTTGTAATACCTTGACCTTCTCACTCATAGCTACATCATTAAGCTACGGTTATTGTTGACATTTTCACACACCTCAATCACACTGAAATATTTACGGGATTTGTGTTAGGAAACGTAACGTGTAAAATAAAGTAATATTTACTTTACTACTTTATACAATTTTAAAAGCGTTTTTCTTACAAGTTATGGTTCTGCTGGAGTAGTTTATTTTTGAAAGATTCAGTTGCGTAAAGTTTCATGTGATTTATGATGTGCTAAGGTTTGTCAATTGATAATGTGCTTTCAATAATCGGTTCATAATGTGCTAAAGTGAATGTGCTGTAGTTTGTCATTCAAATTGTGCTGTAGCTAGTCAATTCATAATGTGTTATCATTAGTAGTTCATAAGTGTTTTAAAGTAAATTTTAGAATGTGCTGTCGTTACGTTATATTGTACTTAAGTCAGTTCAAAATGTACCGAAGCTGGTCAAAGTGCTAGTCAGATCTGTCAGAAAATTTCGTTTAGCGAGGAATCTAAAGAGTCGACTCTAAATATTACCCATGATTTTTAGTAAGTTCCAAGTGTGACGATTAAAGATTCAGTATTTCGTCTTTAAAGATAAGTAATCAGCAGAATGTCTATATTTTGGTGATTTTAGGTCTGCCTCTACTGCCAGAGTTTTTCACCCCCTCCCACGAAGAACATCTACCGCCCCTCAACGAAATAGAATTTATATAGATAGTATATACTGTTACCAGTGTCCGCCCTTTCTCTCCCCTCCCGGGAAAATTTAGTCCGCGGTTTAGCTTCAGCTTGTTGCGGTTTAGCTTCAGCTTGTTGCGGTTTAGCTTCAGTTTGTTGTGGTTTAGCTTCAGCTTGTTGCGGTTTAGCTTCAGCTTGTTGTGGTTTAGCTTCAGCTTGTTGTGGTTTAGCTTCAGCTTGTTGCGGTTTAGCTTCAGCTTTTTGCGGTTTAGCTTCAGCTTTTTGCGGCCTAGCTTCAGCTTTTTTCGGCCTAGCTTCAGCTTTTTGCGGTTTAGCCTCAGCTTTTTGCGGTTTATCTTCAGCTTTTTGCGGTTTATCTTCAGCTTTTTGCGGTTTAGCTTCAGCTTTTTGCGGTTTAGCTTCAGCTTGTTGCGGTTTAGCTTCAGCTTGTTGCGGTTTAGCTTCAGCTTGTTGCGGCTTAGCTTCAGCTTGTTGCGGCTTAGCTTCAGCTTGTTGCGGCTTAGCTTCAGCTTGTTGCGGCTTAGCTTCAGCTTGTTGCGGCTTAGCTTCAGCTTGTTGCGGCTTAGCTTCAGCTTGTTGCGGTTTAGCTTCAGCTTGTTGCGGTTTAGCTTCAGCTTGTTGCGGTTTAGCTTCAGCTTGTTGCGGTTTAGCTTCAGCTTGTTGCGGTTTAGCTTCAGCTTGTTGCGGTTTAGCTTCAGCTTGTTGCGGTTTAGCTTCAGCTTGTTGCGGTTTAGCTTCAGCTTGTTGCGGTTTAGCTTCAGCTTGTTGCGGTTTAGCTTCAGCTTGTTGCGGTTTAGCTTCAGCTTGTTGCGGTTTAGCTTCAGCTTGTTACGGTATAACCTGTTTCTGCTTATTGTGGCTTTATTTCTCCGCTCGTAGCTTTCCCCCCGACATGACAAGGGCACTAACCACTACGGGTATGCTGGTTACACTTGTGGTTATGCTAACCTCCACCATCAGCCATGGAACAGACTCAAAGACAAGAAGCCTCGGCTCTTCTCTTCAACACCCTGTGACTCTATTCAACCAGAATGACTCCTTAGAATATTTTCCTGATTTTTGGTTGAGGACTAACGTATTCTTCAAAGAAATTCGTTTTCTAGAAAATCTTCTCAGTCGGATTTATCTGGACAGCGATGGAGGTGGTAATGACAGGCAGGGGAAGTTACCATGGTTACAGTTTGTTCCGAATGTGACGCCACCAGATGCCAACGTATCCAGGTGTGTTCAAGATTTGAATTACCTGCTGCACGGTCTAAAGACGGGAGAGCTATGGGCGTTCATAGGTAGGTAATATTCCTCGTCCTATTGTTTGATAGTGGACTATTCCAACATTAGGTAAATTGTTAGTTGTTTTGTATAATCAAGTTCTCTTATTGCCGGAACTTATCTTTTATAATTAGGGTTATGTCCAACGTTCCCATTAAGGGAAAAAAGAGGGGGAATTTTTATACCAGTGTCCGATAATGGAATCTTCTTTAAAAAAGGGGTGTTAGGTTACTAATAGTTAACTAAATACACACTTGGCTGGCTAAAGTCAATGCTAACTTTGTCCCTAACCCCAACCCTAGTCCTACCATAAACCTAACCCTAATTTCTAACCATAAAATTAGTCGAGATTACAATACTACTAACAACCCAACACACCTATTTTATGCAAGTCTATTATCGGTAATCGTTATAAAAAATCGTCCCGTTTCATTTATGATTAGGTTTATGTCCAACGTTCCCTCTAAGGGCAAAAAGATGGTATGCAACGTATTTTGTGCGCGGTGTTCTAAAAGTCTAATACAAGGATATTTGTATTTCACAAAATGACTGCGCAGCAGGTTCGAAACTACAGCACGGCCGCGCCACCGCGCAGCTTAGAGGAAACATTTGTAATGTCAGGAATTGTGTTAGGGTTAGTCTTGATTGTAGCAAGGTACATTAGTTTATAGATTACTACCAGTAGCCGATCGCCAATTTTAAAGAAGATTCCAATATTGAGATTTTCGGAAACGAAAAAGCTAATCAAAGCAAGTTGGGCAATGTCGAGTCACTCTTTCGGAGGATCTATGTGGCAAATGCAGTAGAGTTCATCTGTTTCTTGACCATAGTATATAATGTGACGGTTAACATATAATCTTACCGTAATACCAAAGGTAGGTACAACTATGAACCATGTCTAAGAAAAGTAAGACATAATATTCAGACTAACGCTGTTTGTAGTTGAGTGAAAACGGTCTAGTGTATATAGATAGTTGGCCATTTGGTCAGGTTAGTGGCCATCTTATTTTAGTGGCCGTCCCATTTAGAGGCCAATACCCAGCTTTAAGCCATGCCTAAGCAATGTAGAGTTATTTGTATCGAAGCCTGTAAAACAGACTCTATTTAAACAAACAACACTTGCGCTTTAAACTGAGGTCTCTATCAACAGCGATGAAAACAAAAATTTGAACAAAATGTTTTATAACTAATTTAGTCCTCGTATCTCATGCGAACAGCAGAGTGCCCTTCTGTCAATTACCCCCTGGGTCAATTACAGAGGTTGCGGGTGGGGGGGGGGGGTAATTGACCTGGCAGGTGAAATGTCCTCAACTCGTATTCCATATCCCCTTATGAGCCCCAACTCTTGGTATCTTAAAATCTACTTTCGTTTTCCCCAGCCCTCGACTCCTGGGGTAAGCCCGGCCCTTCCCTGTTGGAAGGTCGACTCAATATGGCGGGCAACTATCGCCAGTGTCGGAATGTTACGTCACACACCGCCGACGGCAGGTTCAAGGGAAACTACTGCGTCTTGAATATCGTCATGGTTGACAATTCGGTAGGTTATCTTTCTTGAGCTGATTTTTCAACGTATGTATGCCTACCTGTCTATACGAACCTACGGTCTACCGGAACCTACCGGTCCATAGGAACCTACCTGCCTACACGAACCTACCTGTCTACCCCAACCTACCTGTCTACCCGAACCTACCTGTCTACCCGAACCTACCTGTCTACCCCAACCTACCTGTCTACCCGAACCTACCTGTCTACCCGAACCTACCTGTCTACCCGAACCTACCTGTCTACCCAAACCTACCTGTCTACCCAAACCTACCTGTCTACCCAAACCTACCTGTCTACCCAAACCTACCTGTCTACCCCAACCTACCTGTCTACCCCAACCTACCTGTCTACCCAAACCTACCTGTCTACCCGAACCTACCTGTCTACCCGAACCTACCTGTCTACCCAAACCTACCTGTCTACCCAAACCTACCTGTCTACCCAAACCTACCTGTCTACCCAAACCTACCTGTCTACCCAAACCTACCTGTCTACCCCAACCTACCTGTCTACCCCAACCTACCTGTCTACCCAAACCTACCTGTCTACCCAAACCTACCTGTCTACCCCAACCTACCTGTCTACCCAAACCTACCTGTCTACCCCAACCTACCTGTCTACCCCAACCTACCTGTCTACCCCAACCTACCTGTCTACCCCAACCTACCTGTCTACCCCAACCTACCTGTCTACCCCAACCTACCTGTCTACCCCAACCTACCTGTCTACCCCAACCTACCTGTCTACCCCAACCTACCTGTCTACCCCAACCTACCTGTCTACCCCAACCTACCTTTCTACCCAAACCTACCTTTCTACCCAAACCTACCTGTCTACCCCAACCTACCTGTCTACCCCAACCTACCTGTCTACCCCAACCTACCTTTCTACCCAAACCTACCTGTCTACCTCCACAGAAGGACCTAAGGAATATATTTTTTGACACCTCAAAGATCGAGCTTGGATCTTGCATGCCAGACAGCTGTACCGAGGAGGAGATTTCTAGACTTGTTGGTGCCGGTAAGTTCTGACCACCCCTGGCTGTAGAAAATCAAACATATACTATGACTTTACTTATAACTAGAGCAATAAAACTATTGGGCTTTTTAACTTTCGAATTACAGTTTGTATTGTTAGACGGCGTAATCGAATGGTAGCGCATTCTATTACTAACGGGGACAGTCTAGAGTTCGGATCTGGCGTTTGAGGTCGTAGAACTTCGCTGAGTCAACTCAGCTCTGATGGGTACCTAGTATGACCGTAGGATTCGTCCAATTTTCGCTGAGAGGGTAGATAGACTTCAGGACTCACTTGAATCAACTCAGCTCTGATGGGTACCTAGCTTGACCGTAGGATTCGTCCAATTTTCGCTCTGATAGTAGCTAGACTTTAGGACTCCCCGGAGTCAACTCAGCCCTGATGGGTACCTAGCATGATTGAAGTACTTCCCTGAGTTCACCTAGCCCTGATGGGTACCTAGCATGACAGATGGTCACAATATCCCATCACAAGCCGAGATCAGAACTACATTTAAATCTTTATCTGTTGCTCTTATCGGCTTCTCTGATGAAATACATTTTAAGTTGTATATTTGCGATTTCAAAAGCGTAGACAATACTATACGTATATACTTAAGGTTTTCAGCTCCCCATTTCATTTCAACAAAGGACTCGTCCATAAATCGAATTATGTTTGTACTAAGTGGTATTGTAATATCAGTTTAGTTTAGACTTTAGACTAAGGCTGGGCTATTGTTAAACGGGTTTCTGATTAGGTCAAGAAGATCTAGTGTCGATATAAGTAGTAGCAACTAATATTTGTATGTGGTTTAGAAAATTAATAGCAAACGAAAATCCATTTATCATATTTTAAGAGTGGTATTAATGGCCATGAATGGAATGTACATCTACGTGCACCTTACACTGTCACCTGCAGGTTTGCACGTGCTGAATGTCACTGACACCCTGTCAGCTGGGGTCACGGAGTGTCGGACAGACGAGAGGGAGGTCACGGCAGCCACAGTCACCGCCATGTGAGTAACGCATTATGGTAGCTGATTGGCTAGGGGAAGTAGATTTGAGCTGATGTTAATGACAAACATGTGAGTTAAGCGGTGAGTTAAGTTTTTCCTTAAAAGGTGAACACGAGGCACCTATAAGTGGAGGAAGTCTTTCTGTTATTTGAGATAGTAAAATTTTTATTTGTCTGATAATTGACATTATTGAATCCTATTGGACATTATTACAAAATATATAACTAAATCATTACGGTATTTATTGGTCTCGAGTCCTTACTAATTACTAATTAAAAAATTTCGTATAACATAATTTGGAATGGAGATATGGGGAGTTGCCAGTCTGTTATATAGAATCGTATGATGAAGTGGTTTAGAGTTTTACACAAAACGCCTTAAAATTTATATCTCAACACTTGCTGTGTAGAATGGTAGTTTCGTATGACTCCAATGGAGTGGTCGAGTCGGTAAAGCTCATGGTTGCTAAACCGAAAAGTCTCGAGTTCGAACCCTAGGGCGGATGAGGCTCGTTAGCTGGGGACAGTCACTCTTCTAGGAGAGACAACTCCTAAATCAAACAACTACTGCCTTATGGAAGCAAATCCTAAAAGAAAAGCAGGCTGAAATCAGAGTTAATGGCATCTAATGATCTATGGCGCATAACCAGTTGACACGTATCTTTAATTTCTGATGGTGTGGTCTAGTCGGCAAAAAAAAAAAAGCTAATGGTTGATACATTCGAAACTGTCTCGAGTTCAAACCCTCTAGATCGATCCCTTCCAACACTAAAAAATTAAGAACGAAGAAGTATGACTCCATTCGTACATAAAATGATACAAAACCTGTACATCTTGTGTCTCCACCCGTACATACAATGATACCAGTCCTGTATATATTGTGACTCTTTATTCCATCTATCTAACAGCGTCCTGCTGTCCGTGATTGCCATCACTGCCATATGCGGGACGCTCTACGACCTGGTTCACTTCCAATACCCGGCCTGGAAACTTAACAGGGCCAACATCCGGTTGCAAGAGGTACGTGACCGGCGGTCCCACGTGACCCAGGAACTGCAAAGGACGGATAACTCCCCGCGGCGTGAGGCGTCCCGGAAGAGGCCGGCGCTGGACTACGACAGCTACGACGCCTTGGAGACGGATTCTTCGGACGAGGAGACGGTGACCTTGGTGGATCAGGCATCCAAGAAACTGCCGGAGCCCTCTCAAGGTCAGTGGGTCTATATGGGGGCTAAATGTACGTGAGGTGGTGGACTGGACGGCCAGGGGTATGAACAGTGGACTGGACGGTCAGGAAGATGTGTACGTGAGCAGTGGTGGAGTGGACGGCCATGGGTATGTGTACATGAGCGGTGGACTACGACGACCATGGGTGTGTACATGAGGTGGTGGACTGGACGGCCATGGGTGTGTACATGAGGTGGTGGACTGGACGGCCATGGGTGTGTACATGAGGTGGTGGACTGGACGGCCATGGGTGTGTACATGAGGTGGTGGACTGGACGGCCATGGGTGTGTACATGAGGTGGTGGACTGGACGGCCATGGGTGTGTACATGAGGTGGTGGACTGGACGGCCATGGGTGTGTACATGAGGTGGTGGACTGGACGGCCATGGGTGTGTACATGAGGTGGTGGACTGGACGGCCATGGGTGTGTACATGAGGTGGTGGACTGGACGACCGGGGAGATGTGTACATGAGAAGTAGCGGACTAGACGGTCATGGTATGTGACCATGAGAAGTAGCGGACTAGACGGTCATGGTATGTGTACATGAGAAGTAGCGGACTAGACGGTCATGGTATGTGTACATGAGAAGTAGCGGACTAGACGGTCATGGTATGTGTACATGAGAAGTAGCGGACTAGACGGTCATGGTATGTGTACATGAGAAGTAGCGGACTAGACGGTCATGGTATGTGTACATGAGAAGTAGCGGACTAGACGGTCATGGTATGTGTACATGAGAAGTAGCGGACTAGACGGTCATGGTATGTGTACATGAGAAGTAGCGGACTAGACGGTCATGGTATGTGTACATGAACAGTGTTGAACTGGCTGGCGCAGAGCATTGATGTATGTATAGCTATAAACATATAGATTTACATATAAAATCCATACTTAGACGGGCCACAGGTTAGCAATACCAATGAGTGAAATCATGCCCATGTACATCTATATACCTAATTTTACAGCCACATTTAACTTAATAGAGTACTGTTAACACCAGATTTACCATCACACTTCCAGCGGCATGGCAGAAGGTTCTGATAGCTTTCTCTTTTTACACCAACGGTTCTAAACTTCTCAACACGACTCAGCCCCCGGGGTCACTGACCGCTGTCCACGGCATCCGGTTCCTGAGTATGTCCTGGGTCATGCTGGGTCATATGTACACGTACGGTGTGGAGACATTTGGTCAGTTGTTACATCTCTGTTTGGGTTATATATATATATAAATGAATATATACATACACGTAGCACATGCGCGTAGCACAGGCGTGTAGCACAGGCGCGTAGCACAGGCGCGTAGCACAGGCGCGTAGCACAGGCGCGTAGCACAGGCGCGTAGCACAGGCGCGTAGCACAGGCGCGTAGCACATGCGCGTAGCGTATATGTGTGTATATTTAATGCATAAATTCTAATGTTGGGTTTGTCCAAGTTTAGGGATAGGTAGGTTAAAGATTAGCTTAGTCTTATATCTGGATATATCATTAATCTATAACTTAGATAAGGACCAAGTTCCTGGCTAAATTTTTAGCTTGTGTTCTAAACCTCAGTTAGCATGAGAAATTATAGTTACAAGCTTAAGCCGATTAGTTACACCTAGCTAGCTGTACAACCTGTATAATCTCGTTGATTAAGTTTACCTGTAAATCGTATTGCATCTACTGCTACAGCCAACACACTGACGAAATTCTCAGCTTTATTGAGTACCTGGACAGCTGACGTCATAGCCAACAGTTTCGTGTCTGTGGATACCTTCTTCACGCTCAGGTATTGTGTTGTAATTCATATTTTAAACTGCTGCTCTATGTCGATGGGTTGTTTTACTAGTGGGATATTTTAAACTGCCGCTCTATGTCGGCGGCCTGATTCATAAAGGGTATTAAATAACGTTTACTTTAGACAAACTATTCATAACGAATATTTATTTTGATTTATAATTTAGTAAAAAAAAAACCTGCATATTTTTGGTTCACTTTTCAGTGGCATCCTAGTCTCGTACCTGGTTGTGAAAGATTACCTGGCTACCGGCAAGAAAGTCAACTGGGCATGTTTTTACTTCCATCGTCTTTGGCGGTACGTTATCTATACAGTGTTTCTTTCAGACATTTTTCTTTCTCCGGGGCAGGGATGGGGGGGGGGGGGCACTTGAAATTTCCCCGACGAGGGGGCGGACTAAAATCTCCGAAGGGGGGGGAGGGTCGGACACTGGTAAAATTATATATTTTCTATAGACATTATATATCGTTCTGGGAGTGGGACCGTAGACATTTTAAAGAAATGCCTGGAAGAAACTGTTTTTGTATCATCTGCTTTAAGTCCTTTGATGTGGCTTGTACAATAATAGACTTGTTTAAATACAGTATAACAAGATTAATACTTAAAAGTTAAAAAAGTAATTTTACTGTCAATCTAACAATAACTGTCTACTAAAATTTAAAAAAAGAAAAGAAATTTTAACAATTCTTTAGCCACTTTATTTTCAACACAATTAAACGACATAACACAAATACTTTTTTTAAATTTTTTGACATACTATCTAAAGTCAAACATAGAAATTATTCAAATAAAACATAAAAAAAGCCCCTTAGAAAATTAAATTATTTCCGTACCTATTTTGACGCAACCCTACATAACTCTAATGACGGCAATCGGCCTACAGAGGATTATAATTATATAGTTTCCTTTGCGGCGAAGACAATACTAGCAACGTTTTTACTAATTTATTAAGTGTAGGCCTACAACTAGACAAATGTAACAATAATTTAATATGCTATTTTACTCAAATTATAACATTATACTAAGTTTATTCTACGATACAAACTACATTTTAAAATGAATTTTTGAAAAGCCGTGCAAGAAATGATGACTGTCCCCCAGGTTGACCCCGCCCTACATGATGATTCTGGTGACGGTCCTCGGCTTGCAGAGGTTCATGGGGTCCGGCGCCCTCTGGCGGACCCTCCAGCCCCCAGATAAGGACAAGTGTGAGACCCATTGGTGGTTGAATCTTCTGTACGTCAACAATTTGGTGAGGTCACGTGAAGAGGTGAGACACTCGCTGGTGGTCAGGTCAGTTCAGGGTAAAGGTGGTACGAGTAAAGGTGATACAGGTATAGGTGACTCCGAGCACTGTTGACCTCGGGGGGGGGGGGGGGCACTGTTGACCTCGGGGGGGGGGGGGCACTGTTGACCTCGGGGAGGGGGCACTGTAGACCTCGGGGGGGGGCACTGTAGACCTCGGGGGGGGCACTGTAGACCTCGCGGGGCACTGTAGACCTCGGGGGCGGGGCACTGTAGACCTCGGGGGGCGGGGCACTGTAGACCTCGGGGGGCGGGGCACTGTAGACCTCGGGGGCGGGGCACTGTAGACCTCGGGGGGCGGGGCACTGTAGACCTCGGGGGGCGGGGCACTGTAGACCTCGGGGGGCGGGGCACTGTAGACCTCGGGGGGCGGGGCACTGTAGACCTCGGGGGGGGGGGGCGGGGCAGTGTTGACCTCGGGGGCACTGTTGACATCGGGGGGCGCTGTTGACTTCGAGGGCACTGTTGACCTCGGGGGCACTGTTGACCTCGGGGGGGGGCACTGTTGACCTCGGGGGCACTGTTGACCGCTGGCACAAGTGCTTTAGAGTGTTTGGTAATACTAATGCATGCGGCGTCACGTAGAGCACATAATGTGTAGTCTCACTAGTTTAAGACAGACCCATAAAGTCCTTCCCATATACAATATAAGTAGATTTAAAAAAGTTTTCTTCAAGTCAGTTTAAATTATAGCTGGCACTTGCTGTCTTTGTTTACTTTTTAGTGAAATAATGGCAGTCACCACATTATGTAACATTATCTCTCACCACACTGCATTTAATTTCCTCCTGTTTTTGTTTACTCTCCCAGTGTTTTGGCCATTCCTGGTACCTGGCCAACGACATGCAGTTCTACCTCATCACGCCTGCTATGCTACTTCCGCTTTTGATGTAAGTACCCCAATCATTGATCACGGTTCTTGTTAACGGTATATACACTCGTTGATTTTCAACACCTGGTAATCAACGTATACATTTAGCAATTGATAACTTATGTTTTATCCAAATCACGAGCTTCGTTCGTATTGTTAGATTAACTCATGCTTTCTGATTTCAGAAACAGGTCCATGTGTGTGGTGGTTTACTAGATTCTACTTTCTTCTCTCATAAACAATCTTTTGGTGTAATACTGGTGTGATACCCTTCTTTCTTCTTCGTTCATAATTTTGGTGTTGGAAGGGATCCCCCTCCAACACAATTAAGTATACGTGTCAACTGGTTATGCGCCATCGAGGCCATTGACTCCAATTTCAGCCTGCTTTTCTTTTTGGATTTGCTTACATAGCCTTTGTCCAACCAAAAACAAACTACAAGGCAGCAGTTGTTTTATTTTGGAGTTGTCTCTCCTAGAAGAGTGGCTGTACCCAGCTAACGAGCATCTGCCCGAGGGTTCGGTTTAGCAACCATTAGCTTTACCGACTCGACCACGCCGACCCTCTTATGATCAGTGGCGTAGGCAGGGGGGGGGGGTGGGTTAGGGGGGGGGAGGGGTTAGCACCCGAGGTGCAAATCAAAAGTTTGTCCTCGGGGGCCGGGGAGGGACGCTACGCCTCTGATATATACATTTATATTGCGGGAAAAAAAATTGAACACCCCCCCATGAGACGATCCTGACTACGCCACTGCTTGTGATCCTCTAATTTCTGATTTCAGAAACAGGTCTATTGATGAAGTTTACTAGACTCTACTTTCTTCTTTCAGAAACAGGTCTGTCGGTGTGGTGGTTTGTGTAACTCTACTTTTTTCTTTCAGAAACAGGTCTGTCGGTGTGGTGGTTTGTGTAACTCTACTTTCTTCTTTCAGAAACAGGTCTGTCGGTGTGGTGGTTTGTGTAACTCTACTTTTTTCTTTCAGAAACAGGTCTGTCGGTGTGGTGGTTTGTGTAACTCTACTTTCTTCTTTCAGAAACAGGTCTGTCGGTGTGGTGGTTTGTGTAACTCTACTTTCTTCTTTCAGAAACAGGTCTGTCGGTGTGGTGGTTTGTGTAACTCTACTTTTTTCTTTCAGAAACAGGTCTGTCGGTGTGGTGGTTTGTGTAACTCTACTTTTTTCTTTCAGAAACAGGTCTGTCGGTGTGGTGGTTTGTGTAACTCTACTTTTTTCTTTCAGAAACAGGTCTGTCGGTGTGGTGGTTTGTGTAACTCTACTTTTTTCTTTCAGAAACAGGTCTGTCGGTGTGGTGGTTTGTGTAACTCTACTTTCTTCTTTCAGAAACAGGTCTGTCGGTGTGGTGGTTTGTGTAACTCTACTTTCTTCTTTCAGAAACAGGTCTGTCGGTGTGGTGGTTTGTGTAACTCTACTTTCTTCTTTCAGAAACAGGTCTGTCGGTGTGGTGGTTTGTGTAACTCTACTTTCTTCTTTCAGAAACAGGTCTGTCGGTGTGGTGGTTTGTGTAACTCTACTCTTCGCCCACTGGACAGCTACGGCCACCTTGTCTGTGGTCAACGAATGGCCCCCAGTGATGCTGGGACTTGATGTCCATATTCTGTAAGTCAGAATAGTCTCGCAGGCAAATATGTTACGATTATGCGCCACAGTTTAATCAAGAGGTTAAGCATCAAATTGAAACTTATGTCTTGGACCTTGAAATTTCCAATCCAAGTTTAATGTACCGTCTTTCCAAGGATCCTGAGCGACAGGGTTAAGTGGTAGCGCACACGATTGCTAATGAAAAGATTTTGAGTTCGGTTCCGATCCAAGTTTAATGTATCATCGCTTAAAGGTATCTAGAGCGCACGAATGCTAATCCAAAAGACTAGAGTTCGTTTCGATTCCTAGTTCAATGTACAATCGCTTTAAGGATCCAGCACCTTAGAGATCGAATGGTAGAGCGCACGTTTCTAATACAAAAGTCTCGAGTTCGGTTCCCAGACTGCGAAAATGTAGCAGGAAATCTTCAGTTCTGATAGTACCAGACTCCATCAGAAAAAAATGTGCTTGGGCATAAAATCCACCCCACTATCTAGCCAAAAAAAAAAGAGAAAAAAGTGAGCTTTACTCTTGACCGGAAGTTGGACGAAGTAAGTTCATCTAAATATTCGAACGTTCGAACTACACAAACTTTTAAAAATCCAGGTTACAGTGTGTATAATATTTTTACGTTTCAGATTTTTAGAGTTTTAAAAGCCTTAACGTTGTGTTTAAAGTTTGCAGATCAGTTTTAAATTTTCAGATTCCATTAAAAATTCCTGATATTTGAGAGAATATTTTCCAAATTATGTACCCACGTTAAGTAAAATTAAATTGATAAATATGAAGTTGATCTACTAAATAATTTATAAACCTAGTTTAAGGTGCATATTTTTTCAGATTTTTATCCATTAGCATAGTAAAGTTCCTTTTCAAACCTGACGGTCCAAGGGGCAAGTGAAATTCCACTTCTTTCTGTGACCTCGGCATATGAAGAGATAGTGTTTTCAGCACTATGCCCAGCCGCCTTTACTTTCCCTAACGTGAGTTAGGTACCCAGCAGAGCTGGGTGGACTCAGGGACGGTCTACTGACTTGAACCCGGATTCGAACTCGAGACTTACGGGTTAGCGGTCCAGCTCTCTACCGATAGGCCACTGCGCATAGCTTGTGGTTTAAAAAATTCTTATGTATTTTTGGCCAAATAACTAAACTAAATCTTCTTTTAAAACCCCAACAAGGACAAGGGGTTAGTTATTGTCATAGATCCATGAGAATTTAAACCCTCAACTTCGGTATTTTGTATGTCGTGCTAGGGAAACCTCGGCCCACTGGATGGAACACTATTACATCGTACCGTGGTGTAGGATAGGACCCTACATCATTGGAATTTTTACTGGCTACGTTTTGGCCGTCTACGAGGGGAAGCTACACATGAATAAAGTAAGCCATAATACATTATGTACAGTAAATTTTTTTAAATATAATCTTACATTGGTATAGACTTTGACGCGTGTGAGTTAAAAGTCCTCTGCTGAATATGTAGTCGGCTTCTGTTTGCGTGGAGCTAACTCAGCTTTAATGTTTGTCTGGAATTAATTGGGAAAGCAAGAATGAGGCAATGATAATCGTTTATGTGGGCTATATAGCAGTAAAAGAACTTTTTAACGGTGGTAGGCAAGAAAAGGAGGTTAGGGCAGCTCTAAAGTAACAAGAAATGTTTACCTTCTAAAGCTCTAAAGTAACTAGAAATGTTTACTCCTAAAGCTCTTAAGGTACAAGAAATGTTTACTTCTAAAGCTCTCAAGGAACTAGAAATGTTTACTTCTAAAGCTCTTAAGGTACAAGAAATGTTTACTTCTAAAGCTCTTAAGGAACTAGAAATGTTTACCTTCTAAAGCTCTTAAGGTACAAGAAATGTTTTTCTAAAGCTCTCAAGGAACTAGAAATGTTTACCTTCTAAAGCTCTTAAGGAACTAGAAATGTTTACCTTCTAAAGCTCTTAAGGAACTAGAAATGTTTACCTTCTAAAGCTCTTAAGGAACTAGAAATGTTTACCTTCTAAAGCTCTTAAGGAACTAGAAATGTTTACCTTCTAAAGCTCTTAAGGAACTAGAAATGTTTACTTCTAAAGCTCTTAAGGAACTAGAAATGTTTACTTCTAAAGCTCTTAAGGAACTAGAAATGTTTACTTCTAAAGCTCTTAAGGAACTAGAAATGTTTACTTCTAAAGCTCTTAAGGAACTAGAAATGTTTACTTCTAAAGCTCTTAAGGAACTAGAAATGTTTACTTCTAAAGCTCTTAAGGAACTAGAAATGTTTACTTCTAAAGCTCTTAAGGAACTAGAAAGGTTTACTTCTAAAGCTCTTAAGGAACTAGAAATGTTTACTTCTAAAGCTCTTAAGGAACTAGAAATGTTTACTTCTAAAGCTCTTAAGGAACTAGAAATGTTTACTTCTAAAGCTCTTAAGGAACTAGAAATGTTTACTTCTAAAGCTCTTAAGGAACTAGAAAGGTTTACTTCTAAAGCTCTTAAGGAACTAGAAATGTTTACCTTCTAAAGCTTTAGTCCACTGCTCATTGATACTCCCAAAGTGAAGCGACTATTTCTTTATATTCCCAAATGATTGTGACCATTCGTTATTTCTTTCTTAATGTTAAGTAACCATTCCTTCATATTTCCAAAGTTAAGTGATTCAGTTCCCTTTCCAAACCTGACAGTCTATGGGGTAAGTGAAGTAGAGTTCACCTGTTTCTGTGACCTCGGCATATGAAGGGATGATAGTATGGTCAGCACTATGCAATAAAAGTGACAATTTCTTGATATTCCTAAAGTTATGTAACGATTTCTTGATATTGCAAAATAAAAGCTAAGTGACCATTCCGTGTGACTCACAAAGTTATTTCATCATCTGCTCTCATGAAACGATATTAAGTTTGTGTATACATTTAATCGACTCTACACTGCTTAGGCGTACCTTACCACGAAGCTAGGCTTAAGGTTAGCTATTCATTAACTGAATTCATATCTACCGTGGTACGGCTAACCTGTTATTTATTCTCCAGATGACGGTCCTGACGGGTTGGGTCTCAACTGTAGGGGCGGGGCTCGCAATTGTGTACGGTCTACGTGGCGACATCGGCGGGGAGGACCCGAGCGTCGTGGGGGTGGCAGCCCTGTATAACGCCGTGGCCCGGTCGGCCTGGGGAGTCTGTGTGGCCTGGGTGGTGGTCGCCTGCTCCTCGGGTCATGGAGGTGAGAGATACTGTAATGGTGGACGGTGTGATGACGCTAGTTTGTCAAGTAGATAGAGGTTAGCAGAAACAGACTACAGATAGTTGGGTAGAGAAACCAATGGACGTACAGGAGCTGACCGGTCACGTGGAACGGTCAGCTGACCACTGAGGCGTGGGCCAGTAGTGAGATCAGCGACGGACTTGGTGTTAGGTGTTAGAGACGGTCGAGGTGTGTAGGGCTAGGTTACAGTTGATAGGTAGCTAGAAAAGAGAAATGTAGAATTAGGTAGAGACGGTCAGACATATGTAGAGTTACATACAGTTAGATAGTAGTGGTAGTAGTACCGTGTAGATTAGTTAGGTAGGAAGTTGATAATATAAATTTTAATAAAGAACTTTATATCATGACTTGAACTGTGAGTTGGATATTTTTCATCATATTCATCAACCCCACTGTCACATTTGGTGGTGGTTACTGGTTATCCCCCCTCACAGAACGGGATTGAGTATGACGTGTAAAACTGTTATGTTATAAAAAGAACAAAATGCACCATTTTACAAGCTTTTATTTAACTCACTTCCTCTGTCTGTCGTAAGTCGTCAGTCGTCAGTCTAGACGGAAACGCAGGAGTGAAAATTCGGACAGTTCTACTTGACCGATACGATTCACAGTTGGCACGTGGGTCAAGACATGAAGACAATGCAATCTGAATCTAAATTTGACTTAATTGGATGCCTAATTGATTTTTTATGAATTAATTAAAATTTGGACCGAATTAGTAGGCATGTCTAGCCAACCACACCACACGCGTCATCAATAGCTGCGCCATCACGACCACGTAATGGCTGCGTTCAAAAACCATTGCGCGCCTACTGAACGTGATATTCAGTAGGCGCGCAATGGTTTTTAGTCATGTAACTCTATTGTAGATAAAACATGTAAAGTACTGAAAAAAAAATTCATAAAAAACGTTTTAATAACAAGCTTTTATGTAATGATGCACTAAAAAGTAGAAAATAAATTATAGACTACTATTTAAATAACTATAAAGAAAAGCGTGGGTGTCTTCCTTAACATTAGTAAAGGTATCCAATAGATACTAAAGTGACCCACGCTTTTCTTTATAGTTATTTAAATAGTAGTCTATAATTTATTTTCTACTTTTTAGTGCATCATTACATAAAAGCTTGTTATTAAAACGTTTTTTATGAATTTTTACTCTTCTAGATGGGTATCATCTGCGCGAGGTTCGATCTCGGGACTTTTCAAAACAGGCTATACTTTCACGTATAACTATATAAAATGGATGAATAGTATCTAGCTATCTGATCACAATAGGGCTGGTAAGTAGGTCACCAACCAGTTCTATGGCTCATGCAGGTTTTATTGAGCCGTAGAACTGGTTGGTGACCTACTTACCAGCCCTATTTTGATCAGATAGCTAGTTTTCTCTCCTAGATAGGTTGCTGTCCCTCGAACCTGTCAAGGGGGCTCGAACTCGGGAACTTTTTTGTTTAGCAACAATGAGCTTCACTAATCCGACCACGATGACACCCCCCCCCCCTTTTAAAAAATAGTGCAGTGTTAAACTACACTATAACTCTAAAATCATCTCATCACCAGATACATATTTTGTGTCAATTATTTCTACCCTAGGACCCGTGGACGCCATCTTGTCTTGGCCGCCATTGATTCCACTGAGTCGCCTGACCTATATGGCCTACCTGGTCCACCCGTGTCTCATGCGGGTGTACTACGGTAACCAGGACACGCCCTACCTGCTCAACGATACAAACCTTGTAGGTGTACATGTTGTGTACTAGTTTATTGTATGTGCACTCGTCTGATGTATGTGTAAACGACTGATTTATGTGAGCACATCTGATGTATTGATGTACATGTCTGTTTTTTTATGTGCGTGTGATGTGTGTGTAATGTGTGTGATGTGTGTGTGATGTGTGTGTGTGATGTGTGTGTGGGATGTGTGTGTGATGTGTGTGTGTGATGTGTGTGTGATGTGTGTGTGATGTGTATGTGATGTGTGTGTGATGTGTGTGTGTGATGTGTGTGTGTGTGATGTGTGTGTAAGTGATGTGTGTGTGTAAGTGATGTGTGTGTGTAAGTGATGTGTGTGTGTGATGTGTGTGTGTGTGATGTGTGTGTGTGTGATGTGTGTGTGTGATGTGTGTGTGTGTGATGTGTGTGTGTGTGATGTGTGTGTGTGTGATGTGTGTGTGTGTGATGTGTGTGTGTGTGATGTGTGTGTGTGATGTGTGTGTGTGTGATGTGAGTGTGTGTGATGTGTGTGTGTGTGATGTGTGTGTGTGATGTGTGTGTGTGATGTGTGATGTGTGTGTGTGATGTGTGTGTGTGATGTGTGTGTGTGATGTGTGTGTGTGATGTGTGTGTGTGATGTGTGTGTGTGATGTGTGTGTGTGATGTGTGTGTGTGCGTGTGTGTGTGTGTGTGTGTGGTGTGTGTGTGATGCGTGTGCATGTGTGTGTGATGCGTGTGCATGTGTGTGTGATGCGTATGCATGTGTGTGTGATGCGTGTGCGTGTGTGTGTGATGCGTGTGCATGTGTGTGTGATGCGTGTGCATGTGTGTGTGATGCGTGTGCATGTGTGTGTGATGCGTGTGCGTGTGTGTGATGTGCGTGTGTGTGATGTGCGTGTGTGTGATGTGCGTGTGTGTGATGTGCGTGTGTGTGATGTGCGTGTGTGTGATGTGCGTGTGTGTGATGTGCGTGTGTGTGATGTGCGTGTGTGTGATGTGCGTGTGTGTGATGTGCGTGTGTGTGATGTGCGTGTGTGTGATGTGCGTGTGTGTGATGTGCGTGTGTGTGATGTGCGTGTGTGTGATGTGCGTGTTTGTGGTGCTTGCGTGTGCGTGTGTGTGTGTGTGTAAACATCTGACAAAATAACAAGCTCATTAATTCATAGTTTATTTAAGGCCTCTTTTAAAAATAAACCGGGAGTGATCTCCCCTAAACTTTCTCGAATATTCTTATATAAAATAACAGGGGATGGGAACTCGGGCTATAGACTTCTAGACATGATTTTTAATCCATTTTAAATACTTAAAGTTTTAAAAATAGAATAAAATCTCGTAGACAAATTAATTGCACACCAAGTGAACGCGAAATAAAAAAGCGCATAATAGTGCGCAATATTATTAGTACTTTAAAAATTTACATTAGTTTTTTGAGAAATCGGAAGTAGCGTAAATTACTACTTCCGGTCAACGGAAATTACTCAAAATTTAACAGAAGGTAGAGAATTAGATCTTTTACTTACATGTGAAATTTAATTTATCTATCTGAAATAGTACTCAAGTTATAGGCTTTTGAAAAATTCAAAGTAGAAAAAGTACCACTTCCGGTTGTCGGAAATCGCTCAAAAGTTGATACGGATCTACGATTTTGATAAAATACTTATATATGAAATTTCATCAACCTAGCTGTAACGGTACTCAAGTTATCGTGTTTACACACGGACACACACACACACAGACACACACACACAGACACACAGACATACGGACAAGATTGCAAAATTATGTTTTTCCGTATCAGTGAGATGCAAAACGTCGAGATTTGCAAAAATCTCGATTTTTTTTTTTTGCACGATTACAAGACTTTCTCTATACTTCGTATATACGAGAAAGTAAAAATCCTGTTCGTCTATTGCAGCTTGATCGATTTTTTAAAAACAATAATTAGACTCTCAACCTTGATGTTCATGGTGTAGTAGTAGGAGGGGGGGGGGGGGTAACGCTTGACATGGAGCGTAGAGGCTGAAGCTAATGAGTTCCATGTATATCCTCCACAGGTGATCTCCTACCTAGGTGTGTTGGTCTTCACCTACCTTCTCTCCTTCGTCCTGAACCTGGTTCTAGAATCTCCGATGATTGGCTTGGAAAAAGCTTTCATTCGTAGATAGAGAAGTTTGTTGGATTTTTTGTTTTACATTTGTTGAGTTGTATCCCTTGGCATTGTTGTTGAAAAATTAAAAAGGTCCAAAAAAAGCAATAGATGTATTCTATGTTGTTGTTATGTATTCTGTTTTTGATGTGTTTATCTGTTTCTGCATGGGATGTTTTTGCAATGTGTATTTCTGTATTATGTATTTTCAATGTGTTGTTTAAAATTCTACCAAGTAATTTATTTTTTAATGTTCTTTAGTTATTCATTATCGTTCAACTAAATAAGCCGAAAAAAAAAACCAAAACAAACACAATCGCTAAATAATAATACTTAACGTAAATATGATAATTTATTTTAATTTTTCAATAAATAATTGTCAAGCAATAAATTTTGAAGTTCAAACACAAATTTATTATATTTCGATTTACTTTAAACAATACAACATACATTAAATTAATCATTTTTCTTAAATGAAATAAATTTAAAGGGATATCCAACACGATATAAGTATTACATTTTAGAAAATAAAATACTTTTAATTAGGAGTGACTATACGTTAGAATCCCGAGTGAAAAAAATCCAAGGATTCGAAACTAAACCCATTTCGAACCGTTACTCATTGAAGACAGATATTCCAATGTCACTTTGAACCTGGCGACAGACGTCACGCGTTCTTTTTCGTTTTGCCCAGGAATATTTTTTCCAGACTGATCATGGGGGACTCCAGCGCCAGCATGAGAACAAACGACGCCATGTTGACGACCACCAGAATCCCCAGGAAAGATATCGCCTGCATGGAAAGAAAAGTCAGAGGTCAAGGTCAAATGAACACGCTGGAGAGGATGTGACGTAACTAGTGTGGGAAAAGTAGTACATATATTTACACGTGTCAGATGTCGGAATTAACGCAATATATCTTGAGCTTGCTTATTGGAAAATGGAATGTTTAAGTTTATGCCCACGCTATACATTTAGACACCATATTGCAAACTGCCATAGCGAATTTTAAACTTCGTAATAGGGTAAGGATTTATATAAAATTAGTTCCTATAACAAAATTTATTCGTATTATTTACTAAAGAGTTAAAGAATTATACAATCCTTTAAACAATTGAACCAGATTTAGAATGGATTGTTTACAGTTATATATTTAATCACTGATGTTAATACTTCACAATCCACGGATTACTACTGCAAAGTTGTAAACTGTTTTACTGTTTACACCAGGGGTCTCCAAACTACGGCCCACGGGCCGGATGCGTCCCGCGAAGTCTTCTCATCCGGCCCGCGGAGATCTTTTTGTCCAAGGAAAAATCGTTTGTTGGTGATGGCTGAGGAAGTTTGCCCAGAAAAATCAAAGACATGCCTGGAAGTAACTGGCCCCCGAACAGAAATTTGATAGTTAATGCGGCCCTCGGACTGAAAAGTTTGGAGACTCCTGATTCACACAGTCATTGACAATTGAAAGATTTTAGATAGGACTATAGGCCTAGAGAAAATTTTCCCCATTATTCAGTATACAATACGAAGGGACGCTCAAATTGGAATACACCGATGTAAAATGACCATCTGATGGTATATTTTGACCTGGATTCCTTAATTGATAGTATATAATCGTGAACCATATCAGTATTGTTCATATTATCAAATCACACAAAAACATAAACCACACACTTCATTGAGTAATGTAGTTATCATATCACGTTTTCCGTGAACGCGCCATCGTATCATGTGACTTAAAAGTTCATTTTATAGCTCTTTTGTTTTTACTGGTCTGTTGTTTCTAAATATAGTTTGATCATGTGATTGTTTAAATAGCCGTGGGAGGTGAAGTGTTAGAAGAATGTATCCCGTGGTACATGTGTACCTAGATTTTATCAACCACCAGTGGCGTAGCCAGTATCGTCTCAAGGGGGGGGGGGGTCCAATTTTTACCCGGGGACAAAATTTCGATTTGCACCCCCCTCAGACTTTCGATTTGCACCCCCCCCCTCAAACTTTTGTTTTGCACCCCATCCCTCATACTTTATATATATATATCGAGGGGTTTATGGGGGAGGTTATGATCCCCCATAACCCCCCTCCCCTACCTACGCCACTGTCAACAGCCCTACCATGAGGGCTGCAAATGACCTGATATGTAACGCAAACATTGCGTACTTTGGCCCTGATTTTAGGGCCTTGCGTAACTCTTTAATCGACACGAGTTCACACCGAAGATGTGATCACCTTTCTGACCCGGGAGTTTTCAGTGTAGACCTGGGTTTAAATCCAAAACCCCAACAATTGTTAATAACAACACTTTTTTTCCTACCAAAGAAGCACTTCATTTTAAAATCTCATGTGGGTTGGAAAATCCCAACTGTACCCTTGACCGAATGTGCCACTTGAACTATGGTCAGAATCACTGACGTCATAGAGTCGCCAGTGTCTCGTCATCGGTGACGAAGTGAAGGTCAGGGCCGTGGTAGTGACACGCTCGTTCCATAAAAGGGTGTCAATGTGCTTGGATTGCGGTCTATTTTGTTAAATATTTAGCTGACCATTTCTTTGAGAAGTAAATACATAAAAATCCCCAGTAAATACCATTTAAATGCAGTAATGTCACAAAACATCGGTAAGGTGCGCAGTCCGCACTGGGTGACCCCATTTATTGGCGACACCAAATCAAAAGATCGTTAAATTTACCGTCAAAGCATGTTTTAAATCTAGTTTAAATAATAAAACAGTGGAGCGAAAGGGGGTGACACTTAATCGAAAATACTAAATTATTTAAGGGGGTGGGGTGGCACCCCCAGTTACCGTACCGGATGACAACCGACCTAGGGACGCCACTGTGTAGGTCTGTTTGACCACTAGCAAAAAAAAAAAATAGCCCTTTTGGTGAGTTTTTTTTTCACAGTGTCACTCCGTATACTTTTGTGAAAATCTAGCCTATATCTGTAACAGTGGCGTAGGCAGGATCGTCTCAAGGGGGGGGGGGGTTCCAATTTATACCCAGGGACAAACTTTTGATTTGCACCCCCCTCATACTTTATATATATACCGAGGGGTCTATGGGGGGGTTATGACCCCCCCCCCCCCTAACCCCCCCCCTGCCTACGCCACTGATCGGTAAATCTGACATTATACAACGACAATGAGGAAAGGATCTTACAATGCTTGTGTCAATCGTGTAATACGGAGACTCCATGTTGGCGAAGTAGGCAATCATCAAACACGGATGAATCAGGTATGCCATATAGGTCAGTCGACCAAGTACCACGAAAGGTGGCCAGGACAATATTGCATTCACAGGTCCTATTGATTCGCAGATGAAAAAAAAAGTTAAAAAAAAATAAATAACAATCAAATTAAAATAAACTGTATAGATATGAATTAAAAAATATCATACCGATAATCTTTAATCTTAAAAGATATTTTTATCTCAGTTGAAATATGTATTGTAAATGTTGAAGCATAAGCCGAGGTCGTGTGGTACAGCGCTTATGAGGGCACAATGTGTTATGTGTGCAGGTACATAGCACACACGGGGTCAAATATTAGCGACATGCTTGGATGATAAACCTAGTACTTGGTCAGAGTTGAACTCTAACACCAATTTATTGACAGTCACGTGGTCAAAGTTGCTTCAATTTAAACTTAAGTAGCAACAGGCATCATTAGATTGTTGCTGATCTATTCACTGAAGTTTTGTGCAGCAACCTTAGGTACACATTTACTACACATAGCCCACAATACCTTCATACCCAGAAGATGTATCCACGTTATTACAATAGTACACAATTCCTACACATAGCCACACAGCCCCACACGAAGAAGATTTATCCAATTTATACTTTAGTGCACTTAAGTGTTGGAAGAGATTCCATCCAACACAATTAAGTATACGTGTTAACTTGTTATGCGCCATTGAGGCCATTGACTCCGATTTCAGCCTGCTTTTTTTTTGGATTTGCTTTCATAGCCTTTGTCCAACCAAGAACAAACTACAAGGCAGCAGTTGTTTGATTTTGGAATTGTCTTTCCTAGAAGAGTTGCTGTCCCCAGCTAACGAGCCTCATCTGCCCGAGGGTTCGAACTCGAGACTTTTCGGTTTAACAACCCTGAGCTTTACAGACTCGACCACGCCGACCCCTCTGTCCTGCACAGAACCCGACTCACCCCCCCCCCATAAGAAAATAATTCCAATTTATACATTAGTACACCATCCCTGCACATAGCCCCGACTTACCCACATAGAAAGAATATTTAACCAATTATACATTAGTACACCATCCCTGCACATAGCAACGACTTACCCACATAGAAAGAATATTTAACCAATTATACTTTAGTACACCATCCCTGCACATAGCCCCGACTTACCCACATAGAAAGAATATTTAACCAATTATACATTAGTACACCATCCCTGCACATAGCAACGACTTACCCACATAGAAAGAATATTTAACCAATTATACTTTAGTACACCATCCCTGCACATAGCCCCGACTTACCCACATAGAAAGAATATTTAACCAATTATACTTTAGTACACCATCCCTGCACATAGCCCCGACTTACCCACATAGAAAGAATATTTAACCAATTATACTTTAGTACACCATCCCTGCACATAGCACCGACTTACCCACATAGAAAGAATATTTAACCAATTATACTTTAGTACACCATCCCTGCACATAGCCCCGACTTACCCACATAGAAAGAATATTTAACCAATTATACTTTAGTACACCATCCCTGCACATAGAACCGACTTACCCACATAGAAAGAATATTTAACCAATTATACTTTAGTACACCATCCCTGCACATAGCACCGACTTACCCACATAGAAAGAATATTTAACCAATTATACTTTAGTACACCATCCCTGCACATAGCACCGACTTACCCACATAGAAAGAATATTTAACCAATTATACTTTAGTACACCATCCCTGCACATAGAACCGACTTACCCACATAGAAAGAATATTTAACCAATTATACTTTAGTACACCATTCCTGCACATAGAACCGACTTACCCCCATACCCTGAGGCGCAGGCCACCACCACCCAGGCCACACTGGCACCCCAGGCGGACCGTGCCAGGGCCAGGTAGAGAGCTGCCACGCCCACACTGCTGTAGTGGTCACCGCTGATGTCACCACGAAGGCCATACAGGACGGCCAAGGCCACCGCTGTGGCCAGGGCCCAGCCTATACACACCACGTACTAGAATAAAAAAAATACAAGTCTGCATTGGTTAAAAGTGTTTAGACTATCGATCCTTGTATACCAAGTGATTGGTGTGAGATCGAGTAGTTGTTCATAAGTGATAGGTGTGGTCTAGAAGTAGTTATGACTATAATCAAACCGATGGGTAAAAGTTCGATTCATGCTGTGAGATAATCAACGTCTCCATATCACTGTCAATATATTTCATACTCCATGATAGTTGATACAGATGGACTCTACTTCACCTTTAAAATTGGTCTTCTGGTCTAGATAGCAAACTTGAATAATTTATATTTAAATGATAGCTGATACAGATGGACTTTACTTCACGAATTAAATGGGTTTTCTGTTCTAGATAGCAAACTTGAAAAATTTATATTTAAATGATAGTTGATACAGATCGACTCTCCTTCACATGTTAAATTGTTCTTCTGGTCTAGAAAGCAAACTTGAATAATTAAAATTTAAAAAAGGCAGCGGTTGCAGTATGAATTTTGCTACATATTTTAAGAATTTCTAAAAACGTTGCTCAATTTCAAAATCATTACATAAATTCATTACATATTATTAATTGATATTGTTATATTGACCTATTTATATACTATAATTTCAACATTTTCTAAAAAAAATTTTTTTTCGAATCTAGTGAAATAAAGTTTAGAAACACTGCATGTTACTGTTACCTTTCGCATTTTAATTTTCCCATTAGAAACAGCCAAAAAATAACCAACTATTATTCCAACGACGTATGGTCCAATGCGGCAGTAAGGTGCGAAATAATAATATAACTGCCAGTTTAAAGCTCCAGGTCTGTAAGCTCCAGGTCTGTGAAAGATAAATCACGTGATACCAATGTATGAAAGTAGTTACAACAGCTATATTCTGTTAAAATATGTCAATAACACGAAATGTTAAAACTGGGTATTTTGTTTTATACAATGTCTAGGCAAGGAATAAAACAATAGACTTTTCATTCTTTGCGTAAAAATCACACTTTTTCTCTATAATGTCCATAACATGTAGGCCTACACCCTTGGAGTACATTTATCAGTATTTATTTTTGGCCAACAAATACTTACTTGGCAGGTACGTTTAGCAGTGGTGTCGCTGTCCAATCGTTCTGTGTTGCCAAAATACCTGTTGTAATCCACTGGGCCAAAAGAAACACCAAACACGACGCCAGTCCAGCGTATGCATGGCTGCGAATTGGGTTTATAGAGTTTTAATATTTTCAAAAAATGTAATAGTGAATAAAATAAGATATATCCTGTATTTACTGTTGTAACAAATTTATTTGGGATCTTTAGAAGAATTGAAAAAGTTACAAGAACTAAACTCACAATCGAAATATGATGGGTACAACGAGATATTATTATCTTAAGCAGATATAGTCTTTCTGTTTTATTGAATTGTAGGGAGCGGCATTATATATATATATATATATATATATATATATATATATATATATATATATATATATATATATATATATATATATATATATATATATATATATATCCGAACCCACCCATTGCTGTTTCAATATAAAGAACAGACCATCTTTTATGAAATATAGAAGTAGAAATATTCTAAACGTATGTAAACATTTGATATGCCTACAGTTCCAACTCCCCCTTCCCCGTATGTATTCTCACGGCCTAGATTCAGCATATGGTTCTAGTAAACTTACAAGTAAAATGGAATAAGCATCAAAGGGCTTAGGACGTAGAACTGCATGTCATTGGCCAGGTACCATGATTGTTCCAAGCACTAAACGGGATAAAAACAAACCAAACTAAATACATCTTATTAAAATACGAATGATTTCAGTCGTCTTTAAAGGAATCAGTAAGTTACAGTAATAAAAATTTCCGCAGACCGCCAACCAAAGTCACCATGTAGGTATTGAGATGGAACACGCAAGGGAAGCACACAGGTGTTCCAACATGAAATACATGGCTATGTTACCTGGAAGATAAAACTAAATAAAAATGTGGATAAACCTGATATAGAGAAGGTAATAAGCCATAGCTAACAATTTCGTCATTGTGAACTATGGGGTCGTCCATAAATGACGTCACACTCGTACGGGGGAGGGGGGGGGGGGAATCGGAATTTTGTGACGGTATGTGATGAGGTGGAGGGATGGGGGGGGGTTGTTCAGATGGTGTGACGTCACTTTTTTGCATTATAAAAAAGCAATGTTAGAAAATGAGTTTTGGCCGTTATTTCGCGTTTTAGAAAACGGTTTTAATAAATTGTAATAGGAATTGATCAAAATATTCCATGTTGACGAAATGTTTGGCAAGATTTTGGAAACATATCGATGTTTTAAGAAAAGTTCAATAGCAATTTTGAGGGGGGTTGTAGGTTGAGGTGTGACGTCAATTTAGGGGGGGGGGGGGTCTGGCTTTTTGTGACGACGTGTGACGGAGCGGAGGGGGGGGGGGATGGGGTAAAAATCGTCAAAACAAGCGTGACGTCATTTATAGATGACCGCTATGTTGTTGATATAGAGAAGGTAAATAGCCATACATTACCATCTCATTGTGAACTATGTTGTTGATATAGAGAAGGTAAATAGCCATAGCTTACCATTTCGTCATTGTGAACTATGTTGTTGATGTAGAGAAGGTAAATAGCCATAGCTTACCATCTCATTGTGAACTATATTGTTGATGTAGAGAAGGTAAATAGCCATAGCTTACCATCTCATTGTGAACCATGTTGTTGATATAGAAAAGGTAAATAGCCACAGTGTTATAGAGTAGAGTTCAGTTGACTATATCATAACACAGAGCTTACCATCTCGTCGTTGTGAACTGTTGGGTTCTGGAATCTAGGGTATATATATATATATGTAGCGACAAACAAAGACAACTAACACTATATAAATATAATAATAACAATAAGATGTTTAATATAAATATATATAGTAATAAGAATAATAAAAGAGCAAATGGAATCTACAACATAAAATAACAAGATACTCAACGTCTCCCCGTCCACAGCCACAGCACAACTTCACATCCAGATCTCAACCCCCACGTTCCACGTTCCACGTCCACAGCCACACTCCAACCAACTGATTCACACACTAGCACACGCTCTGACACCCGTCACCTGACACACCTCACGTGAACACCTCTCGCTCCATGTAAACACACTCAACCAAGGGATACAACTATACACCTGTCGTTCCAGCACACAACACACACACACACAAGCAGGGGACATGTAAGGGACGTAACATCCCTCCCCTCCACCTTCAGATCTCTTTTTCTTCAAAGAGATCAAATATTTCTTGTTCCATTAGCCACTGTTGGTGCCCGAGCTCGACTACTTATTCTTTAGTCCTTAGGAAGCCTCGCTTTGACCGGTGGGGACAGCGTTTGGCGTATATCCAGCCTGGACAGTTCGATCCAGAGTGTGGCTTGTATCCAGCCTGGACAGTTCGATCCAGAGTGTGGCTTGTATCCAGCCTGGACAGTTCGGTCCAGAGTGTGGCTCGCATCCAGCTTTAACATTTCGGTCCTGAGTGTGGACTATGGTTTTCTCCGGCCGGGCACCAAGCTCGTGGTCTGACTATCTCAACCTATGAAGATACATGTGAGAAGCCACAATAAAAAATTTGATTTGCATAATCATTCTAAACTGCATCAGTAATACCTTTCTCAAACATTTCTCAATATAATTATATTATAATGCCTCAATAGTAAATTCCTTAACATAATCATACCATACTCCAACAATAATACATTTCTCAATATCATATACACTAGTTGGCGTAAAACACTCGTGATAGAATGTCTGCTACAAAGTTCTCAGTTCCCTTGATATGTTTCACAGTACAGGCTGTTTCCTGTAGTGTAAGGGCCCATCGGCAGATGCGTACGTCGCCATAGATGGTCATCTTTTCTTAAAGGCGATCAAACTGAGTTCCTTTCTCGATAGCCGTTTTAACTACATTAATCATCTCCAGCCCGTAATCATCATACACAGCTTCTGTAAAAAAAAAAAAAAACAAAGAAAAATTTACATTGATTGAATAAATTATCTTAACAAAAAACTTACCTTTGTAAGGATACGCCTCCAAATTTCATGCTTTACCTCACTCTCATATGAGAGTCTTTAAGCAGGGAAAAATTTCCTAACATATCACGCTGAGCTGTGGGACACACCCGTGATATGTGACCAACACCACCGCAGCAATAACACTTGAGATCATCTGACCGTCGATATACATTTTCAGTACGCCAGTTGCTCGCTCTACTGGTCCCGTTGGGACAGTTTCGTTGTATGTGGCCTGGCTTTCTACACCTATAACAGGCGCCTGTATCTATATCCATACTGCACTCTTTGGCAATATGACCTTGTTCATTGCACTTGTAGCACCGATAAGGTCTTTTGTTGTTTCCATACTCCACAACAGCTCTTTTATCTGACCTATTTCTCCAAGTAAAGCCGCTATTACTATTGCTATGACAATCCCTGGCATAGTGTCCATAACGTCCACATGTGAAACATTTACTGCTCCGGCTGACCTTCCTAACACCATGCATAGGCTGTACACCAGGGCAAGTGTGGTGTCCTGGAGATCGCGGTGTCGTGTTTAGCCAGGGTATCCTCTCTGCTGTCGAACTAGCAGCGACGTACGGAGGGGTTTGATTTACTGGCCTCGTCACTCTAGCGTTCCGAGTGCTCTTATAGTTGTCAATAACTTTAAGATTATCTTCCACACTTACCTTAGCAGCACCATTCAGCCTCTCCAACAGATCACAAGTAACAACTGCTTTTATCCGATCAACTATCAAAAGGTTCATCAAGTCCTCAAACGTTTCCTTTATTCCCGACTGCTGGACCCACGCTCTCAAAGCGGCTTCTGTGTTGACTGCGAAGCTTCTCATGTCGTCGTGTGTTGGTACTAGCTGGTGGAATCTGACCCTATACTTTTCCTCGTTGAAACCTGCGTGCGTGAATAACTTTACCTTTACTGACTCGAAGTCATGATGCAGGTTCAGTCCCGTCTCAACGAGGAAAGTCTTCAGTTGTCCACTCATCTTGTCCGTCAGAAGGAGCGACCAGTCCTTGGGGTCAATGCCTTGTCTCTTTGCCTGACTCTCAAAATGCCTCACATACGCACCCAGGTCTTCGTCCACCGTCATCGCCGCCACATCCCTCAAGCGGGGTACAGGGTTACATACCTTTGCTACAACCTCGACCTTCGCATCTTCCACCCTCCTCAACTCTTCCTTCACCCACTCCGCCAAACTGTCATCGGTCAGCCCAATTAGCTTTCCCTCCTCCTTCAAATCACTTATTAGCTGTCTTCTGGCACTCCTGGTAGTAGCCATGCTAAACGGACGGGCCCCCAAATGTTGGGTTCTGGAATCTAGGGTATATATATATATGTAGCGACAAACAAAGACAACTAACACTATATAAATATAATAATAACAATAAGATGTTTAATATAAATATATATAGTAATAAGAATAATAAAAGAGCAAATGGAATCTACAACATAAAATAACAAGATACTCAACGTCTCCCCGTCCACAGCCACAGCACAACTTCACATCCAGATCTCAACCCCCACGTTCCACGTTCCACGTCCACAGCCACAGCCACACTCCAACCAACTGATTCACACACTAGCACACGCTCTGACACCCGTCACCTGACACACCTCACGTGAACACCTCTCGCTCCATGTAAACACACTCAACCAAGGGATACAACTATACACCAAAGGGAGGGTACCTGTCGTTCCAGCACACAACACACACACACACAAGCAGGGGACATGTAAGGGACGTAACATGAACTATGTTGTTGATGTAGAGAAGGTAAATAGCCATAGCTTACCATTTCATTGTGAACTATGTTGTTGATGTAGAGAAGGTAAATAGCCATAGCTTACCATTTCGTCATTGTGAACTATGTTGTTGATGTAGAGAAGGTAAATAGCCATAGCTTACCATCTCGTCATTGTGAACTATGTTGTTGATGTAGAGAAGGTAAATAGCCATAGCTTACCATTTCATTGTGAACTATGTTGTTGATGTAGAGAAGGTAAATAGCCATAGCTTACCATTTCATTGTGAACTATGTTGTTGATGCAGAGAAGGTAAATAGCCATAGCTTACCATTTCATTGTGAACTATGTTGTTGATGTAGAGAAGGTAAATAGCCATAGCTTACCATCTCGTCATTGTGAACTATGTTGTTGATGTAGAGAAGGTAAATAGCCATAGCTTACCATTTCATTGTGAACTATGTTGTTGATGTAGAGAAGGTAAATAGCCATAGCTTACCATTTCATTGTGAACTATGTTGTTGATGTAGAGAAGGTAAATAGCCATAGCTTACCATTTCGTCATTGTGAACTATGTTGTTGATGTAGAGAAGGTAAATAGCCATAGCTTACCATTTCATTGTGAACTATGTTGTTGTTATAGAGAAGGTAAATAGCCACAGTGTTATAGAGTAGAGTCCAGTTGACTATATCATAACACATAGCTTACCATCTCGTCGTTGTGAACTATGTTGTCGTCCATAAATGACGTCACACTCGTACGGGGGAGGGGGGATTGGAATTTTGTGACGGTATGTGATGAGGTGGAGGGGTGGTGGGGGGGGGGGGGGTGTTCAGATGGTGTGACGTCACTTTTTTGCATTATAAAAAAGCAATGTTAGAAAATGAGTTTTTGCCGTTATTTCGCGTTCTAGAAAACGGTTTTAATAAATTGTAATAGGAATTTATGAATTTATCAAAATACTCTATGTTGACAAAATTCTGACAAGATTTTGGAAAAATATCGATGTTTTAACAAAAGTTCAATAGCAATTTTGAGAGGGTTGTAGGTTGAGGTGTGACGTCATTTTAGGGGGAAGGTCTGGCTTTTTGTGACGACGTGTGACGGAAGAGAGGGGGGGGGGGGGTAAAAATCGTCAAAAAAAAAGCGTGACGTCATTTATGGATGACCGCTATGTTGTTGATATAGAGAAGGTAAATAGCCATAGTTTACCATCTCGTCTTTATTAACTATGTTGTTGAAAAGAGAAAAGGTAAATAGCCATAGTGTTATAACTGAGTCCAGTTGACTATATCATAACACATAGCTTACCATCTCGTCGTTGTGAACGATGTTGTTGATGTAGAGAAGGTTGGTCCACCAGTTGTTCTCACAGAAGGTCTTGTCCACGGGCATCTGCATGGGCCACAGGGACCCCGACCCCATGAACCTCTGCAGGCCTAGAACCAGGAGTATGGTCAGCATGTAGGGTGGGGTCAGCCTGTGGGAGGGGTGCAGATGTTGTAGGGTCAATTCGGGGTTGGGGTTTCAGGCATTCAAAATAGGGTTGGGTTTAAGGCATTCAAAAATAGGTTTGGGTCAGAGTCGTAGCGAGGGGGTGGGGTGGGGTTCATATTTCCCCAAAATGGATTGGAAAAACAAATTAAAATCTCATTTTAGCTGCAGTTTTGCATTATAAATATAAAAAAAATATTTAGATGGGGGGGGGGGGGGGGGGGGTGGTGGTGGTGCAAATTGAAAGTTGGGGGGGGGGGGGGGGTTGCAAATCGAAAGTTTGAGGGGGTTTGCAAATTAAAAATTGAAAGGTTGCTCCCGAGGGGGGCGCCAAATTGAAAGTTTGTCCCCGGGCGCCGGAAAGGGTCGCTACGCCTCTTGTTTTGGTTTTAAGCCTTTAAACTAGCGTTAAGATTTTAGTCTACTTTCTATGGTGGGATTTTAGACTCTTAAACAAGTGATGAGATTTAGTCTATAGCAGTGGTTTTTAACATTTTTGGAAGTACCGAACCTTACCACTTTCTTATGCGCATTCACCGAACCCTTTTTACTAGTTCTATCATCCAAACTGACTAAATCATTTGAATCGGTGGTGTGTCTTGATCTCCGTCGAACCCCTGAGACTGACTCACCGAACCCCTTGTGTTCGCTCAAACCCAGGTTAAGAACCACTGGTCTACAATATCGGGTTGGGTTTTTTAGGCTACAATACAATGTTGGGTTTCAGGTTCTAAACTAGGGTTGGGGTTTAACCTGTTAATTATTTTTTTGACGATAGTCCATAATTTAAGGCTGGGTATTAATTTCTTCATTATGGTTGGGTTTCAGCTTTTAAATTATGGGTAGGTTTTGTATGTTTAAAAAAATAAATAATTAGATACTCAGGTAAGCTTAGACAGGAATTAAAGTTTATATTTTCCCCTCATGGTATACCAGAGGCGTAGCCACCCCTCTCGGCACCCGGGGACAAACTTTCAATTTGGCGCCCCCCCCCATTTTTTTTTATATTTATAATTAAAAATAGCAGCTAAAATGAGCTTATTTTGGCGCCCCTAAGGCTCGCCCCCCCCCCCCCTCCGAAGAAAGTCTACCGCCCCCCCCCCCCCCCCCGAAAATTTCAAGTGCCCCCCCCCCCCTCAGGGAAAATGTCTGGAAGAAATACTGCCCTAAGGTCGGCGCCCGGATACAAATGGTATACTCTGTGGTATACGTGATCATCAAATTAAAACACGACTCGGTTGAACAGTGTAAAGATTTTGAAGTGGATGAACCTCACCTCCAAAAACGATGAAAGTAAAAGAGTGGCCAGTTAATCTTCCAGCCCTTTTTGAAGATTTCCTTGCAGGTCAGGTACGCCACAAGGAGGCCGCTGTAAATAAAAAAAAAAAAAAAAAAAAAAAATTAAATCAATAAATAAAACAACAACAGCGAAATGAATGGCATGTCCACGCGTCACTTGACTTTTTTGACCTATGCTGTTTGACCTATGACCTTATGAGGAGTGTTTATTCACCTCTGACCTATTGACTGTTGTTTGTTTTGTTCCTGATTGACGGGCTTTTGTCTTTTGGGCTTGACCTATGACCTATTGACAGTGTTGTATGTACTAAAACAACCTATAGTCGTGTTAGTCGACCGGTGATATTTTGTTGTTAGCTATGAGGTCATCCATTTGGGGGGGGGGGGGGGGGGGGGGGAGTGTGTCCGAAAAAATCGACTTTTGTGGACGCGTGTGGACTGGTGAGGGGGGATGGGTCAATGTGGACGTCCACATGCGGAATTAAACCACAAAATACTTACATTTGATAATTTATAAAATAAATTTAAAAAATGCACATAAAATGTAGATTACACATTAAATCGGCAGTTCTCGTGGTGAATGTATCAGTAATGTAGCAATTTACCACCCGCCTAAGAAAAAAGCGATTTGTCGCATTTGAGGCAAGTGTCCATTCGGGAATTTGTCGCATTCGGGCTAGTGTCCATTCGGGTGTTTGTCGCATTCGGGCAAGTGTCCATTCGGGAAATTGGCCTTCGGGCAAACGGCATTCGGGCAATTTTCTTTCGGGAAAACGTCCGGCTCCCTCCATTTTAAGTAAAACAGCTCTATAAGTCGGTATGTCCGGGTCGGTATAGCGCATGGTTGCTAAACCGAAAAGTCTCGAGTTCAAACCCCCGGGCAGATGAGGCTTGATAGCTGGGGTCAGTAACTCATCTAAGAGAGGTAAAACTCCAAAATTAAAGACGTATGACCTTCCATGAAAGGTCACCGGCCATAGCGCAAGAGTTCCTAGATGAACTTCAACGGCCACGTATTCGTGACCAAGGCAAGTCAACAAAATGGCGGCATCCGGATGTGGTCAAGCAAGGAGAGAGGTGGGCGCTGCTATGCGACACTTAACCCTAGACATACAACACTGTAGTATCCCAACGACCCTAACAAGGGTTATGAGATGATATAGATTTTAGAACTCTGACAGAGAGATTTAATTTATCGTTACCTCAGAGTCAAAAGAAAACAAGTATAGGGCTGGTAAGTAGGTCACCAATCAGTTCTACGGCTCAATAAAACCTGCATGAGCCATAGAACTGTTTATTGACCTACTTACCAGCCCTATACTAACCTGAGGGTGAAGAATGTATCCACGGAGACACTGGCATTAAACACGGCATCGAATGTCCATCGCTTGATATGCTCCAGCAACACTGTAGTTGGTGTACTGCCTGTAGTTACAGGTGGAGAAGAAAGTTCGAGAATTCAGCAAGGTATACAACAGGTATGGTGGGTTAATTCACTTTATCAAGTCATGGGATTTCCTTTTTAGCAGATAAAATGGAAAATGCTTTATAATTTTAATCATTCAAAAATATTTTAGTAATATGTTAAGAATTTTAACTAATGTGTTTCAAAGCGTGGAACGGAGTGGTCTAGCGGTAGACAGCTAGACTGATAGCCCTTAAGTCTCGAGTTAGAATCAGGGTTCATAATCAGCCGATCGTTCCTGAGTCCACCCAGATCTGATGGGTATCTATTCACGTTAGAAAAGTAAAGGTGGCTGGCTACAGTGCTGACCACACTATCTCTTCATATGCCGAGGTCACAGAAACAGGTGAACTCTACTTCTCTTGCCCCGTCAGGTTTGGAAGGGTAACTTTACTTTTAAAAAACAAAATATTTCAAAGTACGTGTTTTTTAATATAATAGTTTTACCCCTACTAAAATGATGATTTGAACTGAATTTTTTTTTTTTAAACTTAGGCTTGTTCAAGGATTCGTATTCTACTAAAATACAATGTAAAAAAAAAAACACGTTAAGAATTCTCAACTCAACACAACAATATCAAAACCACCAGGCAAACTAAAACACAACAAGGAAAAATCACAAGAAATAAACAAACAAAACACAACTCAATATACATTAATTTCACGATACAACAACAAAACAGTTATGACACATTGAAAACAAAAACAGCTACAAAAGTAATATAGAACAACAGAACATAAACACAACTAACAACCTTAACACTAAATAATTGTAAATGAAGAATTAGTCAAGTTTACAATTTCAGTTACAATTGAATATTTTCACGCCGCAAATTACTTTTTCGGATTTTTCTGTGCGCAATTGCCTGTTTAGTCATTTTGTGTATGTGTGCACCGTCTTCTTCCTTTTTTTTTTTACCCGAATTTTCATGTGCGCAATTAACGTCGAAAGTCAAAATAAAAGACTAGTACTTTAATCCAAGCTTATCGCATATAAACAAACAAGTTAATTTAAAAAGTCTAGTGACATTTATGCGCAATTTCCTTATGTTATCTAAAAATAGCTCTGACGTATAATGCTGGGGTGCGTTCAAGCTAGAAGAACGATCGGTTTGTAGGTGTTTATGTAATTTTAAAATTTGTGACCGAACGAGAGGATATTTTTGAAAACTTTCTTCGGTACAATATTGTTCTAAATTATGGCAGAAATCGATTGGTACATGTTTCAAGTCGCTAAGTGGTCTGGTTGCCGAGATATTGGCCAAAAACTGAATTTTTTTCGAGGTTTTTTGGCTTTTCCGGGAAATACATGAAAGAAACCGGAATTTTTATGGCCTATGCTCATTCTCGTAACTTGCTTAACATAATTGCTTTTGGAACTAGTCATCGATATTGCTTCGTTGAGGAGGAGATACGACTTAAAGCCCGGACACACATTCATCCATACATTCATTCATTCATTCATTCATTCATCCATCCATTCCCAGAAATGACGAGTTAATAAACGCAATTCTCCAGAATGGAAATTGCGCTAAAAATGGATTACCTACCGAGAATAGATATGGATACGTTATACGTATGTCCTAGGATCACCCACGTCATGCTCAAGAATCGAATACCGTGTATCGCTGTCAAAGACCCAGCAGGCTGACGAGTATCGAGTACTTTTTTCCCATTCGTGTAAACCGAGAAAGCCAACAATATGTCGACCAATACTGAAAAATTGAGTTCTGATGTGTTAGATTCAAGGGTGGACTGGTCCGCTGGTTTACGTGAAAAATCCCGATGGGACCCAAGGGAAAATCCCGATGGTACCAAGGAATAATCTCAGTGGGACCCAAGAAAAAAATACCGGTGGGACCCAAGGGAAAATCCCGATGGTACCAAGGAATAATCTCAGTGGGACCCAAGAAAAAAATACCGGTGGGACCCAAGGGAAAATCCCGATGGTACCAAGGAATAATCTCAGTGGGACCCAAGAAAAAAATACCGGTGGGACCCAAGGGAAAATCCCGATGGTACCAAGGAATAATCTCAGTGGGACCCAAGAAAAAATACCGGTGGGACCCAAGAAAAAAATCCCGATGGTACCAAGGAATAAATCCCGGTTGGGATCAAGAAAGGTGCTGTAATAGTCTTATTAATGTTTTGATTTGAAAAAAAATAAGCTGTTGGTATTTCTCCATTTGACCATTTCCACTCCTTCACATCAGGGCGAAACATTCAGGCTTTGATGGAGGAAAAATGCACAACCCTAACCCTAGTCCCGGGGGTCCCTTTAAAAATTTCACTGGCCTCTTGGACACAACCTGCCCACCCCTAGATAAAGTACTAAACGCGGGGAGGGGATCTATAAAAGACCTTGCCATGGGGGAGGGGAGATTGAGGTTTGCGACAGTGAGTGTATGGGGGGGGGGGGGGGTCAGAAAGTCTGTTTTCAATTTTTAAAAATTTTCATATAAAACTTGGCAATTTATTTTACTACATGTATTGGACAGCTTGTAAACTGTAATTAAACTTAGTAAGTGAACCTAACCTCAACCCAGATCAATGAATATTTTACAAAGGAAACGCCCTAGAAAACATTTAAAACATGAAAATTGAAGGTGGGTATAAATCCGAAAAAGGAAATTATTTTAGGTGAAACAGGGGGGTGGGGTGTTGGGGTCGGACCTTTGTGACGTTGGAGAGGAGGAAGAGTTTGTGACGTTGGAGAGGAGGAAGAGTTATATTAAAAAATGGTTACGTCTTATGTGGAAGAATTTTTCATAACCATTTAAAATTAAAGATCACCCGGTATTAAAAGTCTTGTGTTAGGGGTACCACATGGCACCGTGAAGTTTAGCACTGGGGTGCGTACGGTGGTAGGTGCTAGTTTGCATGGCAGTTTAAAGACAGGGATAGCGTGGTAGCTTCACGCTAGCTCCCACAAGCAAACCGTGAAAATAAACTTTTGCAATTTTAGTTATGTGTCGAGTTATATTCAGAGGCGTAGCGACCCTTCCCGGCACCCGGGGACAAACTTTCGATTTTCACCCCTCCCCCTCAAACTTTCGATTTGCACCCCCTCCCCTCAAACTTTCGATTTGCACCCCACTTCTCAAACTTTGATTTGCACCCCCCGCTCAAACTTTCAATTTGTTTTTCCAACCCATTTTGGCGCCCTCTAAGATCGGCATCCGGGGACATATTCCCCCCTTCGCTACGCCTCTGGTTGTATTAGACACTGTTTTATAAAGATGTTTAATTTATTTGTTTTGAGGATATCTTTTTTGTCGTCAAGACTGCAGCACTGTTTAGATTTTCTTGAGATTTAAAGGAAGCAATTTTTTTTTTGTTAAAAAAAATCTTTATAGAACATAAAAAGCAATAGCTAATTCAAAATGTAAATATCTGCAATGCAAAACCAATAATTAAGTTTTTAAAATTGTATTAATAAAAAAAAATATAAAAAAAAAATAAAAAAATAATAATAATAATATATATATATATATATATATATATATATATATATATATATATATATATATATATATATATATATATATATATATATATATATATATATATATACATACATATATATATATAAAATGCTTTACGTTCTGAGACGTCCGTTTTGTAAATTCAGCTTGGTTGGGCATTTCTGGAATAAACTGCCGGATAAGTTCTCAGTTTAAATTTTAGGTTGGGAGACGACGAAATTGGCAAAAAAAATAATGAAGTGGTACGCCTAACCAAACTCTTCCATAAAAAAAACGTCTACCCTTACCTGACCACTTCCTCCTCACAGTCTTCTCAGTCCCCGCCAACAACAAACTCGTCTCTTCCTTAGTTTCAGCCAGATCGTCACGAATGGCTTGACTTACGTCCCCTTGCATCACGCGTGTTACGTCCCTTAATACTCCGGTCTCATCGTCTTTCATGACATGAATTACGTCCCCTTGCAGTACGCGAGAACCCGAGACGTCTTGGAGTGTGTCTGGCTTTGAAGTCCTGTTTATGTCCCCGCCTGGCATGGCTCCGTACCTGGGGGTCTGTCTTACGGCAGGTGACCCAGGAGCTGGCAGTGTACTCAGCTCCCAGGGGTTCCACTTCTGACGTAAGATGTCGTAACAACTCCCGAGTAGCATTAAAACTCCGATGATAGTCAGGATAGCGCTGTTGTAAGTAGGGTAGCATTACATAAACATAAATTAAAACTAAACACTGACAGGATAGCGCTGTTGGTTGTAAGTAGGGTTACATAGAATAAACATAAAATAAAACTAACCACAGACAGAATAGCGCTGTTGTAAGTAGGTTAGCATAGAATAAACATACATTAAAACTGAAGCAGACGAATGTCGTGGGCCCAGCTTGGAGGGTCGCCAAGAACTGAGTACGATGGATAGTTGGGGTTGCAAAGGGGTCAAAATGAATGGTGATGGTGGTGATGGTGATGATGATGATGATGATGATGATGATGATGGTGATGATGATGATGATGATGATGATGATGATGATGGTGATTGCGATGATGATGATGGTGGTGATGATGATGATGATGATGATGGTGGTGATGATGATGGTGATGATGATGATGATGGTGATGATGATGGTGATGGTGGTGTATTGTTATTAGTATTCATCGTGGGGGGGGGGGGGGGGTTGAAGGATATGGAAGTTAAACGGAATACTCTGGAAGGCTAGGAGAATGACTAGGAAAAATAAATGGTCTTTTGAATGACATGCAAAATGTTTGGAAAATGTCTAGCAAACATTCTTGCGACGTGCCTCGAATACATCCAGAGTTTATTACAGAAACTTTTCTCCGGGGGAGAGGAGGGAGTGGGGGCGGAAGAGTATTTTGAAACTTTCGGGAGGGGAGTCGTGGACCTATATTTACAGAGATCGGGGACGACGGACACTGGTTAAAGTATATAATTATTTTGTATATAAATTATAGATTTTTAAACATTTCTTTATTAGGCCCCCCCTCCCCCACCAAGAAGAGATAGCTGAAAGAATCTACAATATCGCCATGTTGGGTACATGTCAAAAACACAGGCGAGTTCTGCATTACATTTTAGTGGCAGTAATAATTCAACAACACAAATGCACCTACATGGATACTTTGGTAGCGAGAGTGACCTCCCGGTAGTCCGTACGACATTCGGGGAGTACCAACCGCAAACGTCAGATTCAGCCTGGCAAGGCCTGAATGGAAAGTAATAAAGCACATAAAGAAACTATTTAAAGAACTTTTGTTTTGTTTTATAAAAATAGAAGAGAGGGGGGTTTTCGGAACAAGACTCCCCAAATATGGTGTGGAGTCAGAAGAAGAAAATAATGTTTATATTTTAAGAATGTATATTATGTTATTTTATTTTTAATGTTATAAATCAATGTGAGATTGGGGTCATCATAAATGACGTCACGCTTTTTTGGACGATTTTTACCTCCCCCCTCCCATCCGTCACACAACGTCACAAAAAGCCCAGACCCCCCCCCCCTAAAATGACGTCACACCTCAGCCTACAAAATTGCAGTTGATTTTTTTTTAAACATCGATATTTCTGAACTCTGTCAGAATAGAGTATTTTAATCAATACTTTTTATTAAAATTTATTAAAACAGTTTTCTAAAACGCGAAAGAACGGCTCAAATATATTTTCTAACACTGCTTTTTTATAACGCAAAAGTGTGGACGTCGCACCATCTGAACACCCCCTCCCCTCTCCCTCATCATACACCGTTACAAAATTAAGCTCCCCCCCCCTTCGCCCCTACGAGTGTGACGTCACTTATGGACGACCACTATATTGAATCAGAAAATATGGTCGATAAGTAGTGTCAAAGTATGAGTGGGCGACTATGTTAGGCAGCACAAAGTGACATAGTCGGGAGGCGCGCTTGACAAGGGGGATATATTTTCGGGACACGTTGTGACAAAGGAGTGACTATTGACAAGGAGGGGGGGGGTGTAGGTTTTCAAGTATATAATAACGACACGAGCAGGGTTTCTTCCAGGCACCTCTTCGGTAAGGGGGGGGGGGTGGGGGTGGGGAGAGGTGTGTGTGTGGGGGGGGGGCCTTCAGTCTACCGCCCCCCCCCCCCCCGAACGAAATGGAATTTATATAGAAAATATATACTTTTAACAGTGTCCGCCCCCCCCCCCCCCCCCCGAAAATTTCAAGTACCCCCCCTCCCTGGAGAAAAAGTCTGTAAGAGACACTGGACACGAGTATGTGGTGGACAACTTGGCGAGTAAAATCTTTTTCAAGAAAACGATGCGTCACCTGAGGCAATAAATTCCCCAATTTCCAATTCTGTGCAGGTGTCTGGCATACAGGCACCCAACTGAACAGTGACATTGGTTTTCTGGTTATATAAAAACACAAACTTATATTACAGGGATATATTTTTATTACATTATAAGAAACTAACTGTACCGTTCATATTTTATTAAATTATAAGAAATTAATTGTATTGGTATATATGTTATTAAATTATAAGAAATTAAATGTCTTGATACATATTTTAATAAATTATAAGAAATTAATTGTACTGGTATATATGTTATTAAATTATAAGAAATTAATTTTACTGGTACATATTTTATTAAATTATACGATATTATTTGTATTGGTATATATTTTATTAAATTATAAGAAAATATTTGTACTGGTATATATTTCATTAAATTATAAGACGTCAAATGTAAATTTGAAATACAAATATTTAAAACAATGTCGTTCATGTTTTTTACCTGTAACAATTCTACCAGCATTCCTACGGCGCAGTAATTTCCTTTGAACCCCTCCATCCCCTGCGACTGCGCAGGCGCGGTGACACTTCTACATTGTTGATATCCGCCAGCAAAGTTCAGACGCCCATCTAGAATGGACGAGCTAGGCTTGCCCCATGCATCTATTACTGTAGATGGAATAACAATATTTTTTTCACATTAATGCCCTACTACAGAGGCGTAGCGAGGGGGGGGGGGGGGCAGGGGGTGCGGACCGCACCGGGTGACACCATTTAGGGTGGTGACTCCAAGGCAAAAAATAGCAAAATATATAGAGAAAAACTTTAGGGGGGGGGGTGCAAATCGAAAGTTTGAAAGTTTGTCACCGGGAAGGGTCGCTACGCCTCTGGGGGGTGACACCATTAAGTGCCGCAGCGGGTGACACCCGACCTTGCTACGCCACTGCCCTACTGTATTAATTTGCCCATTATAACTTTTGTTATGTTTACTTTACGCTTATGGATGGAATATCCCGTAGGGAATTTGTCAGAGAATATGAGGGATTGGTAAAGAGAATAGTAAAAAAAAGGACATTTACAATGAGGACATGGGTTCCGAATGGCAACTATGTTAAACTGTCCACTAGACCACGACACCACATACATATTTGTCATAATTTAGTATTTTGTTTTACTTGACACTTAGGAGACTAGCCTAGTCAACTAACAGCACGCAACAAAATGTAAGTATTGTGCACAGTAACGGTTAAATCTAGTACAATAGTGTAGTTAAGTATGGGTTAAGATTATGGTAAGAATCAACAAACGACATTTTTGGTCGTGTTATAAAGGGAAAATAAAATTGATTTTATCTTTTGACTTATCATATATCACAAGAAATATCTTTTGAATTATCATATATCACAAGAAATATCTTTTGACTTATCATATATCACGAGAAATATCTTTTGGATTATCATGTATCACGAGAAATATCTTTTAACTTATCATATATTACAAGAAATATATTATAACTTATCATTTATCACGAGAATTATCTTTTGACTAATATATCACGCGAAATATCTTTTGAGTTATCATATGTTACATGAATTACTCACATTGCAGGGCCCACAACTCTCCCAAGACAACACTGGAAGCCAGTCTATCAAGGTCAGTGTCGCATCTGGTCTTGTTTTTCATTGGAGTCGTTTGGATTTGAACCGATGCCTTGTGAGTTTGTGAGGCAAGCTGATTGTCGACTCGACCAGCAGAAGATCTCACTGATGATCTCACCGCATCTGCCACATTACTCATCTCTTCAAAGACTTCCTTACCTGATTCTGTAAAGATTCCCCTACCTGACTCTTCAATGACTCCCCTGCCTGACTCTTCAACGACTCCCCTATCATGATATTTAAATAACAACTCAGCTGCCAATGAATTTCCGTTTCCCATGAGACGAGCTCTGGAAAACTCTTGAAAAAGCTGCCTCTGTGCTTCTTTGTCGTCCAAAACATTGGTAATATCCGGCTGGATTATGTTGAGGATGAATCTCCGTTTAAATTCACCAGGGGTTGCTTCCCTGCTTCTATCAACGTGAAGAAGGAACAGCAACACAATAAACGCTTTCATCTTTCTTCTATAAGCTACCTCAAGTTAATTAACAATAACACGAGATAAAAATCTACGCTCATCTTGTGAAACTCGAAGTTTATCATCCTTATATTTAAACAATGGTTGATTGTATATAATAGTTTTATTATTGCACAACAAACACGTGTTTTTTTTTTTAAATAAAATTTAAGTGTGTAGTTTACTTTCGCAATCAGTAATGATATAAGCCCAAAGTACATGGTCCGACTTGGTAACACGCCCACAAAATGCTATTTATAGACCTAACGAAAGCGTCGGTGTTGTAGTCTATCTGATTGTCGGGGACGGCGTGGCCTAGCGGGTTCAAATCAATGGAATGTCCCTGAGTCCACCCAGCTCTAATGTGTACCTAACTTACGTTAGGGAAACAATGGCGGCTGGGCATATGACGAGGTCTCTGAAGCTCTACTTCATCTGCCCCAACGGGTAATGATGATGATGATGATGATCTGATTGCTAAATAGTATTGAACAATAATAATCAATGTTTAAAAACGATAAAGACAACAAGCTTTTACCTATTCACTAAAAAGAAGAAAATAAAACGATTTTCTTGAATGACAACAAGACGACAATAGGGGTCATCCATTTATGACGTCCACAAAAATTTGGAATTCTAGACACCCCCCCCCCCTTCTCACGTCCACTTTCGACGAACCCCCCCCCCCCCCCCAATGTGGACGTCCACAAAAATTAAGTAGACCTCTCAATACAGGCTGCAAAATTACTAATTCATTTACATGCAATGTGTACCTTAACTAATAATGTAATATAGGGACTTGATATTTTCGGTAACATCTAATACTAGGCCTAAATAATAATAGTCAACTTTTTCCAAGATGTCCATAAGTCTACGGCGTGTCAACTTACCGTGTGAATGAGAATGTGCTAAGACTATCTAAAATTGTTCTTTATTGAAAGAGTGATCGCGCTTGGACGCTGTGTAGCCTGCCTCTAGATCAGAGTTTCTTCCAGGCATCTTTTCGGGGGGGGGGGGGGGGACGACGACGACGAAGAAAGTCTACCCCCCCCCCCCCCCCCCGAACGAAATGAAATTTATATAGAAAATATATACTTTTAACAGTGTCCGCCCCCCCCCTAAGAAAGTCTACCGCCCCCGAAAATTTTAAGTGCCCCCCCACCCCTGGAGAAATAAGTCTGGAAGAAACACTGCTCTAGATTGTAAAGGCTTTTTTTAACCCTCTATTTGTTATAAAGAATCAGAGATTGCAGGCAGTCATGCATCTTGTTTTTAAATTGAAGATGCTGTAGACCTGTCATTTGTGGCTGTCTAGCTATCTACGACTATATGGGTTCGTGTAAATTCGGCTAATCAATGTCATGTCGTTATATTACTTTTACCCATCTTTACGCTACATGTGTTTCCATAACAAACCGCCTCTCCCCCTTTTTGTGGTCGCGCTGACCGTTAGTCCTACACACCTGACCAAGCAAGCACATTATACACGCGCTGATATTTGAATATTTAATTGTAACGACGTTGTTTTGAGTTTTTTACTTGAAAAAAAAATTATTAGATCTACATCATCTTAGGCTTTGACACAAAATAATGATGTAGGCCTAATATGATTTAATTAGATTACCCGCTTGTAAAAAAAAAAAAAAAAAAAAAATCGCATTTTTTTTCTAAGGCGGGTAGTAAACAGCTACATTTCCGATACATTCATCACGAGAACTGCCGATTTAATGTATAATCTACATTTTACATGCATTTTTATTTTTTTTTTAAATTATCAAATTTAAGTATTTTGTGGTTGGTTTAATTCTGCACGTGGACGTCCATATTGACCCGAAAATCAATTGGGTTGTTTCCATTTTGTCACAGAAAAAAAAATGTAAATAACTATAGCATAATTAGGCCATGCGTTTAAAGAAAAATTAAATATAATTTCATTTTAAAAATTTATCGGCAAAGTTTTGAGAACAAATGACTAAAACGCGGGGTTTACAAAAAGATGGATCACGGAGTTTCTAATACAACCAACCAATGCTTGTCTTTAAAAAAAAATTCATAAAAAACGTTTCAATAACACGATTTTATGTAATAACGGACTAAAAATATAAAAAAATGATTTTCTTTAAATATATAACAACACACTACTCTTTAAATAACCACAGTTTAATTCAGCTGATGACTGCATAAACCACTATGGTGACACGGATATACCGGCTCAGGAGTTGAACTCCTATATAGCCATGCAAGCCTCGACGTAGTGAACTGACTAACTGGCTTTTGAAGATGCCGGTTTGATAACTACAAGTGGGTCGCTTTTCATTCCGTAGGTTCTTACCAGGCTTGCCCTCCTCCCCCCCCCTCACCAGATGCTGGACACCAGTGGCGGAACTAGAAAACATGGGCCACCCCGCAAAATTTTTTTTTGGGCCCCCCTATATATGTATATATATATGTATATATATATATATATATATATATATATATATATATATATATATATATATATATATATATATATATATATATATATATATATATATATATATACACTCAAACACAATACGAATATAGGATACTCCTTTCTGGCCTGATCGAGTTTTAAAAAAAAAATTCAATTAAATCTAATCACAACAGCATGTCATGTGTATGAGTGCATTGGTCTGTTTTGAAAAAATTTCTGTTTTCATGTATGTAAAATACTTCTAATCATTCAGTCGGTCAAAAGTGTATGAAGCTTTGTATAAGTAATGGTGTCTCGTGTTATGTTTATTTTTATGATTTTTGGATTTATATTATTAACTTTAACTACGTTTCATTTTTATACTATATCATTCTTAAGTACTTATTTTTTAAAAAATAATAATTAAGATAAGCAATTGCTTTTTAATTTGATTATTAAAAAGAGTTTTTGAGCACCCCTATTTGACTATTTGAAAAAGGGAAATAATTTATGCAAGTGGTTTGAACGTTTGCCTATCTTTCACACTACAGCTGTGTTCATTTTTAAAATTTTTTTTTACGCAACAGCATGTCTTAGCTACTATATAACATAACTACTGTATTAGATCTGTATTCTGTTTGTTACTTACAAAACCACTATCAAGTTGCCAGTGACGAAACTGATTTATATATATATATATATATATATATATATATATATATATATATATATATATATATATATATATATATATATATATATGTATATATATATATATATATATATATATATATATATATATATATATATATATATATATATATATATATATATATATATAACACGCTATCATTCGTGTATTCATTTGAGACGTCTGCCTTGTTCTCTAGAACAGTGGTTATTAAACGTAAACAATGTAGGCACTTTATTTCTTGGATATTAGTTGTTGGAGCGCTAGTTTATCAAAACTACCACCGATTCGAGCCAGCGTTGTTGTTGGAGCGCTAGTTTGTCTACACTACCACCGATACGAGCCAGCTTAGTTGTAAGGCTAAGAGCGGGAGGGGAGGTCTGAGAAAGGAACTTAAAAGGGACAACAAAGCACCAATGTGATTTTATCCATCAGTACCAAATTTGGGATGGTCTCAAAATGCCGTCTTAATATCTAGCGGTCTCTCGCGCAATTGATGTTTTTTCAAAAGAATTTTGCCGACAACAGCGTGTGTTTGTAGGAAAAAGAATATACAAGTGCGTGGGATGGTGTCTATAGAATAAAGATACTCCAACCACAGCTACGGTATTCTTTTTCAAAACAACCATCAGTTCAAAAATGCAAGAAAAATAATTGTAACTATAAAAAATTTTTTATGGGCGGCTGTGGGCCCCCTAAACGGCTTGCTCCCCCCCCCCCCCCCCCCATGCATTGCGGGGTCTGGCGGCACTGAAGTTCCTCCCCTGAGCTGTCCTCAACAGCTTCCAAAGTTTTCATGGCGATTGGGTAAATATGCAGTAATGCAAAATAGACAGAAAAATGTTTTTCACATGCACAACTGTATGTGGCCAGCTCACGCGTCGGATAACCTTCTGATTTAGGGGGGGGGGGGAAATCCACAAATGACGTCACATTTTTTAACGACTAACAAAAAGCCAGACCCTCACACACCCCCACCTCAATAACTTCATTTATAAATAGTAATTGACTATTAATTATATAATAATGTTCAATTAATTTTAAACGTTCTAATTAATTTCTAAATAATTATATAAAAAATAGTCTTACCTTCCTTGTTTTGTGAATTAGATGTGCCTAATACTAATACTATGCAAATAAATCAATATATGTTGACTACTGCTGTCTAATGTCAGACAAAATGTGCTAAAGTGGTGAATCGTACGGTTAGGAAGTAGTTCATAAACGATACATTGGTCTACTCGATACTTGCGAGGCTAAAAAAGAGGGATGGGATGGGGGTCGGCTCGGGAAAAATCTTGAAAGAGACAACAAAGCGCCTATGTACCACCGCCCATTAAAAAACTTACTCAGGGGAGATAATTCCAAGTATAGGCCTTAAAAGTTTACTATGATATTTCTTGTAAAAGTAAAAAACAAGTAAACGTATATAAAAACGAAGTTTCTAGTATTATATTCTTTTTTATTATTTGTAGGATTCAAGATAGTACAGAATACAAATTCAACCACTATCACAAACACATATTAACATTGAAAAATGTACAATGGATTTCGGCGGGTCCCTAACTTATGCCGCAAAGTAGAACCGCGCATCATGAAAGCCACTTCATATGTAGCGGCTTCTCGTACTATGGTCTTTGTTGTTTTTTTTTAAAAGAATTTTGCCGGCGACAGCGTGTGTTTGATTGTGGGGAAATAGAACTCGGCCTTGACTATGGTTAAAAAATACAACTATAAATAAAAAGAAATTTGATCCCCATCCCCTGCCCCATCCGCCACAGTACACTTTGGAGGATCGGTCAAACAGTTACGTGTCCTCTATTTAGCTATCAAAGGGGGGCAACGAGTCAAATGTGTCATACAAATTTGAAGCGTTGCCTATATTTTACACTGTATTTTGTGTAATGGATTTTATTTTTTTGCTGAAGAGCGTGGTATAGTGACTGTAAAATAAAGATAATCGTACCACAGCTACAGTGTTTTTCTTTTACAAACTAAATATCAAGGCAAAAATGCACGAAAATTAAATTCAAAATTTTAAAAATACTAAT